GTGGGATGAGAGGGTCTCAAACTCCTACAATACCCCATATTTGAGACGACTCTTTGGTCCTAGAAACACTAAGATACAAGAGTAAACAATAGATGTGACATACATCAGGAGATGTGTCTTTTGGACTTGAACCTACCTTAGTATATACTTATCGGATTTACTAGGTGACGCAGTGAATATAAAATCTTGAACTGTTCATCTCTACAGTAAACTAAGACAATAAGTAAAACATATGCCACATTTACACATCACAAATTTATACGTTTGTGTTCTTTTTGGTCCTGAACAAATCCTGAATTCATGAGAGCTTTAGAGAATGTAGCCATGTAATTCTTATAAATGCGACCCCACATTTACTCTCATATAGGTGATATTGATTAAGAATAGGCTGCTACTATTCCACTTGATTTACAAGTATCCATATCATTAAACTAATGTATCCTACATCATCAGCAGTCACCACACTTCTTTCATCGTAGGAATGAGTATGTAAGTGTGTTTCTTTTTTAATCTAGCCAAACCAGTTTGCCTATTGAACCTAGACCATGGGATCTCCAATCAACTAGGTTAGGTTTCCGTTTGGCAGTTTCATTTTACTCTATTGGCTTTAAACCCATTCCCCTCGATGTATGCTTAACTTGCTCTCTAGACAAACCTTTAGTAAGCGGATCCGCAATATTATCTTTTGACCTAACATAGTCAATAGAAATTACACCACTAGAGAGCCATTGCTTTATTGTATTATGCCTTCGTCTAATTTGTCTAGATTTCCTATTGTATACACTATTTTTAGCTCGATATTGTGCAGCTAAACTATCACAGTGTATACATATTGTCGTTATAAGTTTAAGCCATATGGGAACATCCTCCAAAAAATCTCTTAGCCACTCAGCTTCTCCTCCAGCCATATCGAGAGCTATAAATTCCGATTCCATAGTTGATCGGGCTATGCATGTTTGTTTAGAAGATTTCCAAGATATTGCTGCTCCTCCCAAAGTAAATACATATCTACTTGTGGATTTTATATCATTACCATCCGATATCCAATTCTCATCAGTAAATCCTTCAAGCATAGGAGGATACCTTGTATAATGCAATCCATAATTCATTGTATGCTTTAAGTATCTTAATACTCGAATTAAAGCTTCCCAATGATCATGCCCAGGATTGCATGTATATCTACTCAGTCTACTCACTGAGTATGCTATATTAGGTCTTGTACAATTCATAATGTACATAAGACTTCCAATAACTTGTGAGTATTCACGTTGAGATATAGCATCACCTCTATTTTTCTTAAGTTTGCTATTGACATCAAAATGAGTAATTGCATCTTTACTTTCCAAATAACCATATTTTCTAAGTGTAGCTTCTATATAATGGGACTGAGTAAGAATATATCCTTCTTGGTTTCTTTTTATTTTTACACCAAGAATCACATCAGCTAATCCAAGATCTTTCATATCAAAACTTGATTTCAATATCTTCTTGATCCAATTTATTATCTCTTTGTTAGTTCCCATTATAAGCATATCATCTACATATAAACACAATATAACGCAAGCATTATTTTGAGTTTTTGTGTAGACACACTTATCACACTCGCTTATCTTAAAACCATGTGTTATCATAATATGGTCAAATTTTTCATGCCATTGCTTTGGAGCTTGTTTAAGCCCATATAGTGATTTCACAAGTTTACAAACTTTGTGTTCTTGACCTTTAACCACAAACCCCTCGGGTTGTTCCATATATATTTCCTCATCTAAGTCTCCATTTAAGAATGCAGTCTTTACATCCATTTGATGTATTTCCATGTTATGGAGTGCAACTATAGCAATCAACGGTCTTATTAACGTAATTCTCGTTACAGGCAAGTATGTATCAAAGAAATTCAAACCATATTTTTGACGGTATCCTTTAGCTACCAAACGAGCCTTATATTTGTCAATCGTACCATCAGGTTTTAATTTCTTCTTAAAGATCTATTTGTACCCAATTGGCTTATTGCTAGGGAGCAAATCGACTAATTCCCATGTATGATTTTGCATAATGGAATCTATCTCACTGTTAACTGCATCCTTCCAAAATGGAGCTTCAGGAGTGGACATGGCCTCCTTGAATGATTGAGGTTCTGTCTCGGTTAATAAGGTCACAAAATCAGGCCCAAAGTCCTTTCGAATTTTTGTCCTTTTACTCCTTCTAGGTTCAAATTCTTTTTCTTTTTGAACTCTAGACGAGGATGAACCATCATCATGTTCTCTAGGTTCGTCATTAACCTCATATACATCATCATGTAATCTCTTTTTCAATAAATTAGACTTGCCTATTTTGTATGGAAATATATCCTCAAAAAATATTACATTTATAGATTCTATAATAGTATTGACATGTATATCACTGACTTTGGAATGAAAAACTAAGAATCTACAAGCTGAACTATTAGATGCAAAACCAATAAAAACACAATCTATAGTTTTAGGCCCTAATTTTGTTCTCTTTGGCAATGGGACTTGTACTTTTGACAGGCAACCCCACACTTTAAGCAATTTAAACGTGGGGGTTCTTCATTTCCATAATTCATATGGTGACTCCTTTTCTCGTTTTAGGTGTTAACAATATTTTTCGTCTGATATGTTTCTGTTTCAAGATCCTTACTAGCTGTAGCAGCCATCATTACATAATGAGTCAGATCGGGTTTAATTTTTCTAAAAACAAAGTTTTTCCTGGCATTTGACATTTGCCAACACAAAATAAGAATTTTACTAAGATCAGAAATATCATCTTTATCTCTAGGTATTTGAAAATTAAGAAAGAGCATCTAGACCCGCTGAGGTGCCTGTGCAGACCGCATAGGCACCCGCCTAGCCCACCCAGACCCGCTTAGCTCGCAACTCACTTATACAAAAAATAGATAATCTTCATTTTACATTTAATTTTTTACAATAATTTGTAACAGACTTGTTGCATGCTTAAATGAACATACATTATGTCCTTGTTCCTTATGTTTTCAATATGTTCCAATACTTCATAATACATATATCATTCTATTTTGTAATTTATAATGAAATTATATATATTTTAAGTATAAGCGGATACTTATTTACACAAAATATAATAGATTTACTTAAATCTGCTTAGTCCGCTTAGGTGCCCGCGTAGGCCCCGTCTAGCCGCCTAGGCGCTAGGCCCCAACCCGCCACTCCACTAGTGCCTAACATCTTTTAGAACATTGCCTTTATTACATAAAGGGCAAAGAGTTCGACCATTAAAGTTATGTTGACTTAATCTCTTGTTAGTAGAAAGTCCATTTCATCTAGAGTTTCAAAGTCTTAAATTCTTTTGTTTAAAATAGGACCATTTGAAATTAGTACCAGGTGGATTACCCTACAATAAAAACTTTGAAACCAACTGTATTGACTAGTTAGATGAACTAGTCAATTGATTACATGTTGTTAGATAGCCACAAGCATATAAACCAAGTATACTGATATGCTAAAGCAAGAAAAGTGATCTCCAGTTATTGTTTTAGCCTTGGTTCTTAAGTTAAGTTTACTTAGTTAACAAAGTGTCAATACTAGCACACTCTACAAAGTTTATATCTAACAATGATTATTTGGATATAAGGGTAACTTTGCAAAGTATTGAACACAATGAAGTTTTTGGCCGGAAAAAACCCACCTGTGGGTTAAAAAACTGGGGACTCTCCACTGAGTGCAATCTACTAATGTAAACAAAGTTCATACAAAGACCACACAAGCTCAATTCCTATATCCCTATCTATAGAGCAGCTTTACCTTTGTGCAACCTTACTTTACACTAGATGAACTCCTTCGGTCTTCACGAAGTGGCAGCTCCTTCTGAGATCTTTACCTTGTGGCACCGATATCAACACGATCAATGAAATGAGGATTCAACGACTAGTCAAGTTCTACAGTCAAATAGTTGAAGAATAACCTAACATGAATCCAAATGCATAGTCTAAGAAAGATATGAAACCTTGAAGATTAGACCTAGAACTTAATGCAAAATCATGAATACAATGCAACCCTAATATGCAATGATTGGCCATTTTTGCATGAGATGGTTTTGTGGCTAGAGTTTCAGTTTTGAAACTTAAGAGGTAGCTCTAAGCTACATGCACTATTTTTCTTGAACTATCAATAACCTAGCCAAGAGACAAATGAAACCTTGAAAACCCTTTTAATTGAAAAGAGGGATGTTTCAGACAAAAGGTACAAGGAGACACGTGCTACAAGCCAAAGAAACCTTTTTCAAATCAAGGGTGAGAAATCGATGCATGGAAAAATATGTCAGATGGCCCATGTGGGCTATCTTAATTCGCGTGCCTAGAGAGCAGGATAGTAGAAGGAATTTATGACTAGACAACTATACTAAACAAAAGAAACCGAAAAAAAAAAGCTTGATATGCATATGCAAATGAATGAATCAAACCTTTTTTGCAATGAAGATGACTGGAGCTTTGACAATTTAATTCTAGCAGAAATCCCAGATCAACATTGTACCCTAACTCTAAATTATGAGTATGTGTGGTAACATTTATAATTTTTGACAAAGGAAGCCAAACAATAAACCTAATACTTAACATCAGCTGTTATCTTCGCCATGACAGTCCACCTTTCTAGGGGCCGAAAAGATTTATATAGGTATTTCAGCTTTCTTCTTGTAATCATCGTGCGATTCACCAGTGTTAGGACTCGACCGTGTGGTGCTTGGTAAAAAGAGAGAGAAAATGGAGAAGGTCCATGCCTTGTGCACATGCCAGACTGAGCCAATACGCGAGATTGAGCGAAATCTCAAACGTCACACTGATCTCATAAATCACAGTCCACCGGGGCAAAAACGCAAGCACAGAAAAAAAGTGGGAAACCCCAAGACTCCCAAACCCTCTCTTCGCGCCTTAACCTCTCTATTTCTCCCCTTCTCTCTCTCAATCAAATCCAAACCATTCCCCAAACAATTGAGCCGTTTGAGAGCAAAGGCAGGAGGAGGGGGGCGGCGATACTGATCCACCATGATGCAGCAGCATCAACCTCCGCCAGTCCCACTGCAATCGCAGACCGCCGGAACCCCAGCCGGAGTGCAGGTCCGCTGCGCTGGCTGCGGCAAGATCCTGACTTTGGACGCAGGGGTCACCGAATTCGCCTGCGACGCCTGCCAATTGCCCCAAATGTTGCCGCCCGAGCTGATGACCCGAGCCCAGGCTTATGCCCAGGCCCGCGCTCCGCCTCCGCTGCCACCCCCGCCGCCCCATGTTGCGCCTCACGGCGTTGATCCTTCGAAGATCCAGCTTCCCTGCGCTAATTGCAAGGCCATCCTTAACGTGCCTCATGGCCTCGCGAGGTTCCGGTGCCCTCAGTGCCAAGTTGACCTGGCTGTTGATGTCTCGAAGCTCCAGCAGTTCTTCCCGCCCCGTCTGCCCCTGCCTCTTCCACCCGAGGAGGTCAATGAGGTAACTGTTTGGTTGCTGAGAAATTTCTGGAATGTGGAAGTATGAATTGCAAATGCACTATGAGTGCTAGAAGTATTTTGCTTTGTTAACATAAACCTTAATAGATATGCTTTCTTGGTAGTTAGAACAAGTAAAAGGCTTAGGACTTAGGGGTGAATACTGTGGATTATTTTTTGCGAGAGACTCCGAGTCTCCAAGTAATGTATGTTAGAAAGTTTCACTTTTGTGTAGTTCCATTACTTCCTACGATGAATATTTCAGTTTCTAGCTAGTATGGACTCGTCTGGAATTGCTTTTAAAAACGCTGAAAGCGCATTTAGTGAAAATGTTATTGGAACCAATCCTTAGTAAAAGTGCAAGTGAATCTTGGAAGAACACTTAAGTGCTTTTTGGTGCTTCTTGCAAGAAGCACGTCAAGTTGTTTTGGAACCCTTTTAACATTATCTTTAAAAGCACTTTTAGTCATTTAAAAGTTCCAAATGAACCCTATATATTGGAGGTTTCTACTAGGGGACTTGTATTTGGGGATGGTGTTCTTGTTTGTAATACTTTGATTCCGGTTTTGGTGTGACTGACTGTTTGATCACTAACAATTTTTAACCGTCCACTTATGTGTTCAAAGCCTCTGCCTTTCCTACATATTTGGTTTCCATTAGAGTTTAAAGTAATTTAACCACATGAAAGGGAAACTTTTTGGGTGGGGTTTTTTGGGGGGGGGGGGGTGAAACTTCCACCAGGTCACTTAAATTAAAGAAGATTTATTTCAGTTCAGAGATACTGTGCATCATTCAAACTGGCAAAGCCTAGGTACTCAAATATAAAATCCATTTCTGTTTCCAATAAAGTATAACTTATTTTCAGAACTGACCAAAGCTTAGTTGTAATCACCAAAAGCTGCATATCTTTTGGACCAATTATGTTTTATATAGGATCACTAAAGTAGCATTATGGTGCTGCACTCCTTGGAGTCCATTTATGAAAATATCTTTCAGTGAGGAGCATCTATCTTAAGTCCGTAAAGCAAATTCATGTTTCTGGTCGTGGCTTTGTTTATTCTACGAAGTTAAAAAATGAGCACTCTTATAGAATGTTATCTTTTGAAATGATATTATCAGATACATGTAGGCTTATACTTTCATGGCTGCATCAAACATGTCAGGTCGCCATCGAAGTAGAGCGAGAAGAGGATGAAGGTGGCATGGCAGGAGAAACATTTACAGACTATGTGAGTGTTTTTGTTTGCCATTAACAAGTACGATGTGATTTATGTTCATAATTGCTGAGGCCTCATGGTTACAAGTTCTATCTTGGAGTTTTCTTTCTTTTTGACAATGTCAGTGTCTTGACTTTTATTTAAACCACTTGAACCGGCATCTCAGATACATTTTATGTTACTTTTATGTAGCGCCCTCCAAAACTATCCATTGGTCCTCCTCATCCAGATCCTGTTGTGGAAACATCGTCCTTGGCTGCTGTGCAGCCACCTGAGCCCACTTATGATCTGAAAATCAAGGATGATTTGGAAAATTTAAAGGCTTTGTCATGTTTACAGATTGAGACATTGGTCTATGCTTGTCAGGTTGCTGTCCTGTTCTCGCGACGCTTTATTATTTTTAAATTGTCTGCTCCATTGTAAAGCTTTGTTTGCTTCCTTGACAGAGACACCTGCAACATCTTCCAAGTGGTGAGAGGGCAGGATTCTTCGTTGGGGATGGAGCTGGTGTGGGGAAAGGTCGAACAATAGCAGGGTTAATATGGGAGAATTGGCACCGTGGGATGAGGAAAGCAGTGTAAGTTTTTGGTTGCAGTTTGTGGGCAGATTTTAAGAGTCGTTTGCGTAAAAGGATAAAACAGCGCCCCCCCTGGGGGCGGATCGAAAAGGATGATATGGAAAAAATAATCTCTGCGGCCTTATTTTAAGCTCCCATCAATTGGAGTTATAGAAATGTCTTCTTAATACATATTACACGTGGGAAGTTAAAACACTAGCAGCAGAAGTAAATGCACAATGTCCGAAGAAAAGATATCATATTAGTTAGTGTCTGTTCAGTGACAAAAAAAAGAAAAAAAAGAAGTACCACATTAAAACATGGCCTGTTTATACTAAGTTTTGCTCCTTGTGACCGGATAAAAATTTCAAACACATGGGTTTCTTTATCAAACAATCTCACTTGTGGGAGTTTCAGTATTTTTCTTTACGTTAATATTGGTAAAAAGCACTTAGTAACTGGCGTTTGTTTTGTTGGTTGGAATTGCAATACTGAATATTTTCAAGGCCGGAACTATGCTTTTCAACTCTTTGTTTAATGCTTTCTCCTCTCTGCATTGGTTCTAAAACAGGTGGGTTTCTGTTGGTTCAGACTTGAAGTTTGATGCGAGAAGAGACTTAGATGATGTAGGTGCAATTTGCATTGAAGGTAAATGTGCTCGGTCTAGTTTTCTTGTGTGTGTGTGCACGCGCACTTTTTTAAACGTGCTTGGTCTAATTCTATTTGTGTATTTAGAAGTACAATTTCGTATACCGGGACAAATTGTGAAAATCATTCATGTAAAATTGCATATATAAACTTCTTCCTCATCTGTGTAGTACATGTAGTTATTGCACGGTGTGTTGTTGTGTTAATGGTTTTGTTTTGTGGTGTCATAATTTGATTCAAGCTTAATGACATTTGAAAATTATGTGAGGATGATTTAATAGTGGAAAGAAGCTTAGAACTGCTAGGGAAAAATGGTACAGATGCATTTGGCCCAAAGTTGTGGGTCACTGGTGAGTAAGTGGTGATAGTAATTCAATAGAATGCTACTCAAACTATGCTTTAAGTCCTGGATTTCCCTTATTCTAGAAAAGGATACTTGATTGCATTTATTCAAAATGTGAAGGATCGTTACCTTTTCTAAAACTCTGTGATTTGGCATGTGTTTGGATGTGCTTATTATATTACATTGTTTGGTAAAGGGTTGTGGCATGAGATGACAACATGTGCCAAAAATAGAACAGGAAGACAGTTCAAAACAGATTAAATTTTCAGATAGCGTAGGGCATCAGGACTCTGCTTAGGTTTAGCTGCAGGTTACTGATTTTTTGAATTTAAAAAAAAATTCTCCAATTGGGATTGAGCCTTCTTCCATCATGGGAGACTATGATTCTGAACAATATCACAATAGATATAATCTTGTTTGCAGTACACGCCTTGAACAAGCTGCCTTATTCCAAACTTGATTCTAAGTCTGTTGGCGTCAAGGAGGGCGTTGTTTTTCTGACATACAGCAGCCTCATTGCATCCTCTGAGAAAGGTCGTTCACGTATGGGGCAGCTTGTGCAGTGGTGTGGACCAGGATTTAATGGTCTTGTTGTATTTGATGAGGTAGTATATTTTTGTTTTAAATGGTTTTCTGAAGATTTTTAGCATATGGTTTAATTGATGGAATGAAATATTCCATGGTGTCAATATGTTCTGCTTTTCATGCTAAAGGTCAATGGCTTCATTGTAGTGCCACAAGGCCAAAAATCTGGTGCCTGAATCTGGAAGTCAGCCAACACGTACTGGTGAAGCAGTTCTTGAAATTCAGGTTTGTCCTATCAGATTTTTGAAAGCACATATTTTGCCTTCTGCTCTTTATCTATAGCCTTCTGTTCTTTATTTATAGTTACTTTTCAAAGTTTAGATCAATGATTTCATTTTAGGTAATTTAATAGGCATATTTAAGATATTTGAGTTTGCAGAATCTGCATCTTGTATTTTAGTTTGTAAAATCTGATACAACTCCTTCTGATACATTACATGCCTGACTGCAATAGCTATGGTTCCTCTGTACAATAATAAATATACCTTTGCTGTAAAAGGGCCAGAATCGCATTAAGTTATTAACTCATAATGTTTTTCTTTGTATTGTCACAGGCTAAGCTTCCTGAAGCTCGTGTTATTTATTGTTCAGCAACTGGTGCATCCGAACCACGAAATTTGGGTTACATGGTACGCCTTGGTCTTTGGGGCCCTGGAACATCTTTTTCTGATTTCCGTGAATTTCTAGGTGGGTTTTTCACTGAATACCCATACATTTGTTAGTCTTATTTATAAACTTTTACTCACTTCTTATAGAAAGGAGAACATTTTTTCTAACAGCACAGCATGTGTAGGTGCTCTTGAGAAAGGAGGCGTTGGAGCACTTGAACTTGTTGCCATGGATATGAAAGCAAGGTAACAACGCTGAGAATAGTTACATGTAAAATATACATTAGGAGCAAAAGCGATGTAATAAGGATCTAAATTGGGGACTCAATTCTGTGACTTACATTCCAGCTCTTAAATCATATATAGATCACGTAGTGTTTATCTCAGCTGGAATGTATATGGGTCAGGATCGGGAACACACCTTTCTGACACACTTTATTAGGGCCCACTCCATAACTTTTTTCAACGATCCGAACCATCTATATGTCAATTCACCATTCATAGATCATCCTTACAAAAAATTAGACAAGTCCAAAATCATTAAGACACTCATTTGTAGTGAAGAAAATGTACGCATGTGGTTCTACAAAGAAACACTGTTAAAATGACTGCCATTTAATCCAATGGTCATATGGTTCGAATTTGAGTATTTTTGGTAGACATGATCTTTTTGAGGAAAGGCATGAAAGATAGACGGTTAGATTGTTGAAATTCATTATGGATGGGCCCTACAAAATGCCAGTCCTCAACGCCCATATCATAATGCCATCATTGTTATGATGTAAAAATGCGTGTTTTGATATTTCAGGGGGATGTATGTATGCCGTACTCTTAGCTACAAAGGGGCAGAGTTTGAAGTTGTTGAAGCACCGCTAGAAGCTGAAATGATGGTATACAATACATGTCTTATTTGTCTCTGATTACTTGAAATTTAAATTATAAGCACAGTTTATTATTCTTTTATTTTACTTTGTTGTCTTCTTAGGACATGTACGGAAAAGCAGCAGAATTTTGGACAGAACTGCGACAGGATATACTAACTGCATCTGAATTTCTTGCTAATGAAAAGCCTGTTTCTAGTCAAGTGTGGCGATTATATTGGGCCAGCCATCAGGTATTAGTCTAGGTTCCTGGATGTTTGTTGTTTTAAAATTAGTTTTTCTAAACTTTTCACAATATGCTTTCAGTTTTTTTTAATAACTTTTTTATTATGCTTTTGTGCATATCTTGCAGCGTTTCTTTAGACACATGTGCATGTCAGCTAAGGTGCCGGCTGCAGTAAGACTAGCTAAACAAGCATTGATGGATGGCAAGTGTGTGGTTATTGGCCTTCAGAGTACTGGAGAGGCGCGAACTGAGGAAGCTGTGACCAAATATGTGAGCGAATTGGTTATTTTTGTTGTACTTGGCTTTTGATTTGTGCATTATTTAGTTTTTTGTTCCTTGCTTAAGCAGGGTCTTGAACTTGATGATTTTATTTCCGGACCTCGAGAACTTTTACTGAAATTTGTTGAGGAAAATTATCCCTTGCCTGAAAAGCCTGAACCTCTGAAGGTATACATGCGATTTACTATTGTTTGCAACCATTTATTTTAATGTAACTACCAATTTACTTTCTAGAGTTATACTAGGAGAAGATAGTGTGAAGGAGCTGCAGCGGAAGAGGCACTTAGCAACTCCTGGTGTGTCAATGAAAGGGAGAGTGAGGAAAGTTGCAAAATGGAAACCTGCAAGTGATGATGAAAGTGATGAAGAATCTGAAAGTGAGTTCCTAGAAATTGGCTTCTCTCTAATGCTTGAATTTGGGCCCTTAATATTAGTTGTCTTTGGTATCTTGCTGTACTTCAGAATAAGTTTGCAAGCATGTTTTGTTTGGATTCTCATTGTCACCTTGAAGGAAATACTTCTATGGTTCTTATTGATGCATCACTTTTAGCCAGTATGCAGAGTGCACCTACTGAAGCATTCAGCTTAACTGTTCATATGTTTTTATTTAGAATCTTTTCCTTTTAGGGCACATCAATTATAGCGGGTTGTATTTTATGTAGTTGAAAAATGATGCAACTACTCAGTACCTTTCCTTATTCCCAAGCTTTCTTTGATTAATGCAGCTGATTCTGCTCAGGAATCTACTGAATCTGACGATGAGTTTCAAATTTGTGAAATTTGCCAATCTGAGGAGGTAATTCCATTTGGCATGTTAAGATGGTTGTTCTTGCAATATGTTACTTATCCATGAGATGCTGCAGGAACGAAAGAAACTGCTTCATTGTTCCTGTTGTGGGCAACTGGTCCATGCTGCGTGTCTTATCCCACCTGTGACAGATGAAGTATCAGTAGACTGGTCATGCCATTCATGCAAGGAAAAGACAGATGAATTTTTGAAAAGAAGACAAGAGTATATAGCTGTTCTTACGAAGAGGTTAGTTTAATTTGATTCTTTTTCCCCACAAGAGTTTCATATGTAATAACTTAATTTTTCATGACATGTTGATGTCTTATTTATAACTTTATAACCACATCAATGACATTTTCATAACCTTCAGGTATGAAGAAGCTTTGGCTCGTAAGTTAAACATATTGGAGATAGTTCGTTCTTTGGATCTTCCAAACAATCCTTTGGATGATATCATTGATCAGGTAGTGGTGATGTTCTTTCTCTCCCTCTGTCTCATGTAATTTTGAAAATACTAAATCACATGTTCATTGTTAAATTGCATCCACCTTCGTAGAGCCTCCATGCTTGTTCTCTTTTTCCCTAAAATCTAACTGGAACAGCCTTGCCTATAATTTGTTAGATATTGTAGGCTGTTATGCCATGTTGTAGTCTAATTCTATCTTCATTTTGTAGAAGTGTTAGATTCTGAAATCCTTAAGAGGTAGGTCCAAAGTCCAAACTAAACAAGTCTTTTCCATAAGTTTGACCATACTTATGGAAGGGAAGGTTTTGGTCATAAATTTATGTAGAGTAAAACAGCCATCTTTTATTGTATATCTATGGTGTATGTCTGTGGCATAATGTTGCCTAGACATTGACATCATAAAGGATATCAAAGAAATGAGCTATCTTTTCCAGGACAGATTTCTTAATGATTCTGTCAACTGAGGCATGAAGAGTATCTTATTCTTCAGTCTTCATAACAGTGACATAAGTTATGTAGGCATAATGGAGAGGGTTCTCAGAATTAAATCCAGTTCTCTACTTGTGATAGGTTTATTTTTTCTAACCTCCGAGTCTTTTTAAGGCTCAAAAATTGGATCCTGCTTTTTAAGAAATCCTCAATGGTTGACCACGTTAGGAAATAGATAGGTGAAACAATATCCTTGAGCTCATTTAAAGTCCTACTGGATTGAGCATACTCTTCATAAGCATCATAATGAAAAAATAATAAATTTATCCGTTTTAATCTCAAGGGCTTGTATGTTTCCTTTACTAATGGTGCTTATAGGTCATTAAGCTTGCTCCATAATAGAGAACCCGTGATTGGATTTACCTGTTTGGTTTTGTTCACACTGATTTGTACCGTTCTTTTTGTAAGTACTGGTCCTGTTATTCAAACTGGGTTGCTTGTTTCACACTGATTCAAAGGAAATGCTAATTTCCATTCTGCATATTTAATTGTTTATAACAATACTATGTAGGTATCTTACACTTGATATGATAACATTCTGGCCAGCATGAGCAGGCATGACAATGTATATGCATGTAACTCTTAATTCAAAGACTTAAAATAGGTGGTTAAAGGGTCCTACCATAAAAAAAAAAGATGGTAGGCAAAAGAGGCCATTGAGCGAAGGTAGCTTGTTTATTTCCATTTTCAGTCTATACTTGACAATCAGTCTTGTTCCGTTTACAAAGCTCTAACATGATCCCATCTAAGAGTCACTTTGCCAAGACTGTCTGCTTCATTCCAGATTCTAAATTAATGTTCATATTCTACAACACTCTACAGAATACCTCAACTTTATCTGTTTATTGAGCAGAATTTTTTTTCTTATTTCTCTTGGGGTGGGTGTCAGCTTGGAGGCCCTGATAAAGTAGCAGAAATGACTGGAAGGCGAGGTATGCTTGTGAGGGCATCTGGTGGAAAGGGCGTTACCTATCAGGCACGGAACACGTGAGTTATGGTATTTTTTTCACTCTTACTTATTTGAAGTCATTTTTAAATTGGCTAAACTGTATTTCGGTTTAGGAAGGAAATTTCCATGGAGATGGTAAACATGCATGAGAAGCAGCTTTTCATGGATGGCAAGAAGTTGGTTGCCATAATTTCTGAAGCTGGATCTGCTGGTGTGTCTTTGCAGGCAGATAGAAGAGCTACAAATCAGGTATGCCTATAGTTTCTAGAACTTATCTTCTCAACAGTTGCTGGCTTACAGCAGAGTGAAACTGGATAGTATCTTTTCATCACCTCTCCCTCATCTAATTACAAGCATTCTAAAATTTAACAACAGAGACGAAGGGTACATCTTACTCTGGAACTTCCTTGGAGTGCTGATCGAGCGATTCAACAGTTTGGAAGAACTCATCGGTCAAATCAAGCCTCTGCTCCTGAATACAGGTAGGTAGACACTACATGTAAAAATTGTTTCTTTTATTTGGCTCACCAGTGTTATGCTGGTTGCTAAATTAGTGTTGACTAGTTTTCTCTTGACCTTTAATTTGGAAATGACTTCTAGAAAAGTTGTGACCTAGCTACCTTTTACTGTTAGAAGCAAGGGCTTGTCCACTGTGCCAGTACATGTTGATGTATCAGAGTGACTAGTTGAAGGAATCAGATCCTGATATCCTTTATTAGTTTTTTAGTGAAACCAAATATCCTTAATTACTGGATCTCCTATCTGACATATGACAGGTTTTGGTTGAATCTTTGGTCAATCCAACTAAAGGGCCGGCTTTACAACCAAATGAGTTTTGTCTCATACTCAATGAAATTGAGATTACATAAGAAAATTTTCTATTTATTTGTTTGTCGTTTTCTGATCAGTGTGATTACTAATTAGTTATTAAATGCACGCTATTACAGATATGAGAATCATGCATGGTTAGTTGTTTTTTCCAGTTGATGAACTGGTTTCATCCTTTATTTCTTTTGCAGGCTTATCTTTACTAACCTTGGTGGAGAGCGTCGATTTGCATCCATCGTAGCAAAGAGATTAGAATCTCTTGGAGCACTAACACAGGGTGACCGCAGGTTACTTGAATTTCATCTATGTAGATTTGGTAGTTGTTATTATTGTGGTATAAGAACGTGTATTGTAATTTTATTCTCCATTCCGTGAGTGATTTGCTTGTCTCATTATTTGGTTTGATGTAATGCAGGGCAGGGCTATCATTGAGTGCCTATAACTACGATAGTGCTTATGGAAAGAAGGCCTTGATGTTGATGTATAGAGGAATCATGGAGCAGGTTTGTATGAACTTCTTCTGAAAAATAATCTCTCCATAATGTATGAATACAAGTAAAAATTAAATTGTGATGAAAAATAACTAGAAGTCAATTTTCAGGATTCTCTGCCTGTTGTGCCGCTAGGATGTTCATCAGAAAAACCGGAAACAATCCAAGATTTTGTTGAGAAGGCTAAAGCTGCTCTTGTTCTTGTAGGAATAGTTAGGGATGGTAATAGTTTTGAACTATTGTGCCGTACTATGCTGGATAGGATATTTAATGGCTCCATTTTATTCCCTACATGTTCTAAATTATGTAGTGTTAGTACGGTTAATTGATTTAAAATTTTATTTTCCGTAATAGAATGTCACAGAGAATTTGCTTTTAACTATATTTTATTTTATTGGTGGTGACTTATTCTTATTATATATAATGTAGCTCATGGGAAAGATCATGGCAGGCTTGTTGGCCGTATAATTGAATCAGATATGCATGATGTTGGACGTTTCCTCAATCGGATTTTAGGAGTACCGCCTGATATACAGAATAGGTCTGTGATTGACATGTCAATTAAAATATACTTTACTTATAGTAGTTAAAGTTGGGTTTCATAAGCTGATATCATTATAATACACAGGCTGTTTGAGTGTTTTGTTAGCATTTTCGATCATATTGTCCATAATGCACGCATTGAAGGGAATCTGGACTCTGGGATTGTTGATATGAAAGCTAATGTTATAGAGCTACAAGGAACTCCAAAGGTCAAGCATTGCTTAATTGTCGCTTGTTTGATTTACATTTTATATTTATATTGACTTCCAATTTGTTGCAGACTGTTTATGTAGATCAAATGTCTGGAGCTTCGACAGTGCTTTTTACATTTACCCTGGATCGTGGGGTCACGTGGGAGGTACTTTTGTTTTCAAGTGACTAGTTGAGTATTGGCTTATTACTATGTCTATGCCAATTCACATACTAAATTATGTTTATCTTTCGTAGTCTGCGAGTGCCATGCTTGAAGAGAAACAAAAGGATGGACTTGGTTCTGCCAATGATGGGTTCTATGAATCTAGGAGGGAATGGTTGGGAAGACGTCATGTCATATTAGCCTTTGAGAGGTACTGCATCTGAAGTTTGTTATGCATATTTTTTTGGTTTGAAACGTGTATTGTTCTGCCGATTTTTGCTCAAGTGAAGTTGTATATGTTCTATTAGAATGAGGATCCTCTCCAGATCCTCTTGTGAGGATCCTAGGGATCCTCAAATCATGTTCGTTTATCGTACATCATGCGGTCAGAAATTATTTTAAATATTTTTTATTTAAAATTAAACATAAACAGTACTTGATGAAAACTGGCTGCACGATGTACGATAAATGAACACGATTTGAGAATCTGGAGAGGATCCTCGATCTTTTTGTTATTAATTTATTATTAATATTATTTTTCTTCTGAGTTTTTCTTCAGCATTATTATATGTACTTTCCCTTCATAGTTCTTGGGCTTCAATTCGTGTATCTTTCTACTTCATTTTCTGGTTTCATTGTTTACCCTAAATATGTTTCAGTTCTACTTCCGGATTGTACAAGATAGTCCGTCCTGCGGTGGGAGAGTCAGTAAGGTACCAAATTTATGCTTTATGTGCTTCATTCATCTTTGTTCTAAAATAAATATATTTCACTTTCACCTACTGCTTTTCCCCTATCCAGAGAAATGCCTCTGTCAGAGCTAAAAAGCAAATACAGAAAAACATCAACATTAGAGAAGGCTCGTCGTGGCTGGGAAGATGAATATGAAGTTTCGTCCAAACAGGTAGATATTGATAAACTTTCAAAATTGCTGCATTATTTTTGGTGCAAATAGTTGCTTTACTGTTATTGAATGACTTTGTTGCTATTATGTATAATGTGATGCTGAAAATCTGTATTTCTTATGTATTCGAATCGACTATTTATTCAATCAAAATGGAAAAAAAGGCACTCATTTATCAAATCATCGTGTATCATATGTTTACCTTCATGGCCATTTTGACCTTTGATTAACCATGCACCGCATGTCTGGCTCATTCTTTCTTTCTTGAAGACTTGGATATTGTTTCCGTGTCAAACAGCAACTCAACCGACTAGGTGTTTTAACATCTCATTTGCTGATTGTGATAATCTTGTGACTTCACCATTACTTGCAGTGCATGCATGGACGCAATTGTAAGCTTGGCAACTTCTGTACTGTTGGCAGAAGACTGCAGGAAGTAAATGTATTAGGTGGCCTAATTCTTCCCGTCTGGGGCACTATTGAGAAGGCTCTTTCTAAGCAGGTAACTTGTTATCATCTGCTAGTTAATGTGACCTGGTGATCTCAGTGACGTAAATTTAACAAATTACAGACTGCCTTTTCTTCATTGTGATTTGTGGACAACCTTGAAATGCTCTCTTACCAAGTGCCAGTGTTTGCACTTAATTGTTCCTGAACAATTTATATTTAGTAAAAGTGCAAATATGCATTTCTAACTACTGATAACTCGTGTGACAATTTCTCCAGCAACGGCAAAGCCACAAGCGACTACGTGTTGTGCGTATAGAAACCACGACAGATAACCGCAGAATCGTTGGTCTCTCTGTCCCAAATGCAGCAGTGGAATCCGTACTTCAAGGTCTCTCCATTTCTCTTGTTAATTTTCATTTTTTCCTCAGCTTAGCGCACTTGACTGATAAAAAATTTCAAAGCCACTCCAATTCAAACTCTTTTAACGATGAGCATTTACTTAAGATAACTTCTTGAGGTGCCTAGCTAACTTAGCCTAGTTCTTATGCAAGTGAAACTCATAAATGGCTGAGGATATGAAATTCATGAACTCGTTCGTTCCCTTTAGAAGTTTACTTGACCGAGGATGCTCTGATTATGTTTCAGATTTTGCATGGGTTCAAGAAATTGACGACTGAGATGACGCAGTAGTCTGGTTGTAAATTTTGCCAAGTTGCTATGCTACTCTACGCCGTGATAATCTTGGAAGCACATGAATAGTTCCAGAACGAAGGCAGAAGCCAAATACCCAAGAAATAGAAAAAGCGAAGATGATTTTTCTGCACATCGTAATGACCCCGTGCAGTCATTGATTTTGATTTTATTTGTTTCTCGACCTCCATTGCTAATCTGTTTTGTTTTTTTTTTTTTTTTGCCCTATTTATTTTGTATATCACCGACGACGTTTTACGGCATTGGAGGTTAGATTTAGTAGGCTCTCTTGGTCATTAGTTTTGCCGCAATCAATTTGTATCACTATCATACAGTTAATTCAAATGGTAGAGGAAATAGAAAATTCCCCGTTTTGTTCAACATCATACATTTTGTGAATGAAATTGTACCCAAAAAAACAAAAAAAATCCTTTACGTTCAAAGACATTAAGATATTTATTAGATGAAAAAGAACAAAACAAAATCATTAAAATTCAAATGGACAAAATCGAAAATCCGATAAAACCAGTGAAAATATTAAAGCCGTAACATCTCATTCTAACAATGCAATGCATTATTCAACTAAGAGGTCATATAGCGGTGAATCAATTTTATGCAAGTCTTTTCCGAAAGAAGAGCATAAAGTGCCTCACTGAAATTATTTATCACAGTACATATAAATATTTATAAACTCTCAGATCAGCACACGAAGGGAGCAGCGACGTGATGGTCATGGCAATAGAGGCCAGGTCGCTGAGTGAAACCCTGTCTCTTCAGAGCCTGCCTCGCCTTGAGAACAAGCTCTTGGTTCGAAACGGCTCCGTCTTGCTCTGAGAGTATCTTCTGAATTGCATTACTAAGAGCGCCATAGCTTTCAGCTGCATTTCCGGGAGGAGTGGCATCCGCGGACGTTTGGTCTGTCTGGCAACCGCTAATGAGAATCCCGCCATCAGGAATGGCGCGATGATTTGCTCCGGCATAAACCTCTTGCTTGCTGCCTACTTCTGTCTCTAAAGCAGGCTTTGCGTACTCATCGTTTTCTTGAAGCTTTAGTTCAAGAAACCCTTGAGCCAAGCTTCCAATCTTCCCCAATAACCCGCTGCCTCCGCCCTCTTGGTTTTGGAGTTTGCTCATGATCACCTTCATGAACTTCTTCACCTTAGGGCTGGCATCCTCTCCGAAAACATCGAAAAGTGTTGGCCTCAGCTTCCCAACGTCAATGTCATCCTTGCCTGTTTTCTGCTTGAGTATCTCTATGAGAGTTGAGAGTGGTAGAGACCGGCCTTTGACACGGACCCTGACCCCGTCTTCAGTTTCGATCTCTCTGTCTTCCGTCTTCTCTTCTTCATCATGATGTCGACCGTGGCGCAATGCAGATGGGATGTGAATCCCACGAGATCCCAGTGCATCTTCCGCCCTGTCCTTCAGAAAATTCTTGAATCCACCACCACCGGAGCCGGACTCGCGCCCTCGCCCCTTGGTGCTCTCCCCTATCTGCTCTTTCGCTTCATCAATGAGGCCCCCGCTGTGGCACGAATCTGATACAATTGTCAGCCGGCAACCTGCTGGCAGCTGGTCTACAAACTCCCTGAAGTCATCATCTGTTACAAGTACCATCTAAAACAATTGTTATACCGGCCCCATACCAAACAAAGCAATCAGATTCATGTTCATATATGACCAAATTCAGATTAAAACTTTTTTTGTGGTAACAAAAAGTTTAGGAAGAGATTGGCTACTCTCGCCACCAATACCAGGGCATACCCACAATCTCAAGTCAAAGGGATTTACGTGTGACACTTAACTGACAGTTGTCACGGGTATACATTTATGAAGGAATTTACAAATTATGCACCAACGAGAACTGTTGGCAGCGTGAATCAAACTTAGATTGGGGGTTAACCTCAAGCACGTCCGTACCAACTGAACCAACCTTCGTTGGCATTATGCTTATATTTTTTATAAGCATTCTGAGTTTGTATTAGAAAGAACAGTAGATAGAAATGACTTAATCTTATACTTTAACACAATGTAAACGCAGAAAAGCAGAAAAGCAGACTTTACCAAAAAAAAAAGAGAGGGCAGAAAAGCAGATCAAGAACCCAAACACATTATATTAAGAATCACAACCAAACGGATTTAACTCATCCAAAAATTTTGGATCATCAAGCAGATCTTAATTTTTCTGAAATATGATCAAATTCTATCCATAATCCACCAAAACACAGCAGAGACTAAAAAAAAAAAAACAGAAAATTGGCTGAAACGATCAATTTACAAATCTCGATTGCTGAAATGATCGGTTTTTAGTATTTGATGGATATGACGTCAATATTTGATAGACATGTGATCAATGTTTGATTGATACGTTGGTTAATATTTGACCGATTTGTTCATCCACGTTTGATCGATATGTCGTCCATCTTGATTTTGATAAGTTCATCCAGTCGAATTATAAAAAAACAGATACAAATCAAAACAATAATCGGTTCAAGTAAAACTCAAAAATCAAAACTGAGACGGAAAAGAATTTAGAAAAGAAATGAACGAGTCAAACCAGTGATGAGGTTCATGTCCGTGGGGACGATGCACTCGTCATATCCCGTATCATCATCATCCCCCGTCTCGGCGGGAAGGCGGGTCCCGTGGCCACTGTAGTGAACAAACAGGACGTCGCGGGGATCGGCGGATCGGATGAGGTTGGTGATGGCCCGGCGGATGTTTTTTCCGGTGGGCTGAGTGTAGGAGTCGTCGGTGTCGATCAGAACTTGGATGTCGTCCTTGGAGAAGCCGTAGCGGTCGACGAGGCATCTGTGCATTCGCCTGACGTCGTTTATGCAGCCTTTGAGCTCCGCCTTCGTTCCTTGGTAGTTGCATCCTATCAGCACTGCCTTCTTCACCATTTCTGAAGATTTCCGATCACTCTTACTCTGTTTTTTGTTTTTTTTTTTTTTGTGTGAGAAGGAGAATTGCATTGTGATGATCCTCTGTTTATTATTACCTTAAAATTAGAGTTTTAATTATTTATTTATTTATTTCGGAATTACAATAATATTTTAATATACAAATCCTTTTGTTTGATTAATATACAAGGTGAATTAGTTTTTTAAATGGGTTTTGGTTTGGGTTGGTGCCGGCAAAGAAGAACAGGATAAGGACTTGGATGCACGTCCTGGCTTTTAATTGCATACCAAATTGCTGCATGATATATTTTGCCATATTAGCAAGATATTGTGCCAATGACTATCTATCTTTAATATTGGCACAAGTTAAATTTAGGGTTATCTTGAAAATATTTGTAGTATTTTCTGAACTTCCCCACAAAAAATTATCAAATTTATAGTATCATTTGTTGAGGGTATCAATTTTACATTGAAAAAAGCGATGTTGTATGTGCTTATAAGTAATTGGGTTATTCTCCATGTTGTTAATTGGTTTTATGGTAGAACCTTAACTTTCTTCATAGTATTAGAGCAGGTTGTCCTACGTGTGAAGTCCAATGAGCACACGTGCTTCACTTCACCGAATTTGTATTGTCCACTTGCTGGATTTGAAAATTAGCCGTACGTGAGGGAGCGTGTTGAGAACTTGAGAATATCAATCTCACATAAAAAAAAAGAAGGGACTTTACATGTGCGTATAAGTAATTAGACTACTTCCTCGTACAACAACATAACCATGCTATGTTACGTTATTTTCTTACTTACAAGTATCTTTTTGCCAAGTGGTTTAAAACATTATCATACACTTGATGTCGTGTGTTCGTGCACTTGCTCCATCATCAATATCTAAGCGGAAAACCAGAAATTTTTCATAAATTGGGTAAATATTTTGTTATGCGGAAGATAAAAGTTAAGCCAAATGATATTTGGACTAAAACAAGCAATAGCTGCGTGATTAGAAAAAAAAGACATGTAGTTTAATAGTAACCATAACAACCTGAATTGTGTATTGCCCTAAGCTCCATATCAATAATCTTGAAAAATGATAAGATGTAATGTCGCGCAGAGAGAATTTATGTTACAAAAACAAAGGGCGTCCTGCCCATTATGACTGGGTAGCAAGCAAAAAAATAAACGCACAACACAAAGACTAGAAAAAATAGGGGGAAAAAACATAATCATGTCCTCGACATCATTTTTTAGCATTGACAAAATTGCAGTTCACTCGGATTTCACCTTCATTAGGTCTTGTGAGAACTTGCACATTTCCAAGCTTCACCATTGACACAGAAAACTGGCTTTCGAAAAGTGACGGCTGAGACGCCAATGCAGCAACAAAAGGACCGGTTCTCTTGTCCGACTTGAGCAGCTGATCAGTTGACAACAATCCCAACTTCTTGTTGAGATTCGAGTAGTACATTGGATCGAATGTCTTTGGAGTTATGGCGTCGAGATAAACCAAGTCCAAGTCATTTTTGCATTTCTTCTTCAAGAAGTTATTCAAGTACATAGAGTTAAGTGAAGGGTCAGGCTTTCTCGTTCCATTGAAATTTGAGAGCCTGTGCTTGAAGGCGTAGCAAGAACTTCTGCCCATGGTGTGTGCCCCGGAGAGTGTGACCAAATCAAGCATGTTCAAGCCGCGTGATTGGAAAAAATTGATCAATTGAGTGATGTTCTCCTGTCCCTGAGGAACAATGTCAGCTTCCTTGAGGATTGAAATTTTACCATCTTTGCGTCCGAAGGGGACTTCCCAAAATGGACCACCAGCTATGATTGTGGCATCTCTGGTTGCGGCAGTGAGAATGTCAGCACATGAGACGGTTTTAGGACACTGCCTCTCAAGCTCCGCTTTGATGTCATCAATTACTTCAAAACCTCTGAGTGTCCTGCTGGCAAAAGCCCTCCTCTCGCTCGCTTGATGGTTAAGGAGAATTGATGCATCGCATCCCTGCAGTGCAATGTTCATTACAATCATATAATACATGTCATTTACTATATTCTCTAAGCCTTTCTTCTATACATTAACTGTTAGAATTTCGTCTAGATCTTGTACTTTTGTATATGGTAAGTGACATTTTACATTGTATGAAAATTTAACGGTTAATAGGATCGGTTAAGGGTTCAATTCCTTCTAATGCAAGTAACAAAAAAGAAAAGTAAAGTCAATGCGAACGAATACTTACTCTCACAATACAGTCATGGAAGTGTAAGCGAATGATGCTAGCAGCCAAAGTGAAATCCTTCTGAATCCAATCTCCGACTTTTTGTTGAATGATTCCCTCAGCTTGTGGACATGTTTTAACATAGTGATCGAATGACAGAAGATCCTCAGCGCGAACAGATTTGGCCCGAGACTTTTTTACGTTGAGAGCTGCCGTTATAGGTAACTTAGTCGATGATACAACATTGATCATGAAAAGCTCCAACAGAACAAGAACAACAGACAATGTTGAACTGCACAACTTCATGTTTATGAAAACTTGTTTTTGGTATTTGGTATTATTGTGTGTGCTTAACATTAACCTAAATCAGCCTTGACTTTATATACAACTCTAAAAACTGAGTTGACATGTTCGTGGGGTTTTGTAAATACGTGAGAAGCACTATTGCGTCTTAACGCACACTAAATAGTAACATGCAAACATGTAGCTTTTGGAAGTCTAATTTTTTAAAATTTTGTGTACAGATTGATACTGTTTATAATTCGGGTCATCAGCTGAGACCAACCACCAACCCACCCCACTAGGGGAAGGTCCCAGCGGAGAAAAACCCACCCCAGCAGGGATACCGAGAGCTCCATCACAAACTACACCTGGATCCCAAATTAATTAATATATATTAGCTCTTCAAGATTCCCACGTCTTTAACATTTGTATTTATTTAATTATTATTTTTTTGATTAACTTGTATATATTTATTCGGACTTTGACAAACCATCCCATATTCAAAGTTTCTCAACCTCTAAACGAGAGATTTTTCAATGTAACCGGAACACAGAGTGGTACACTACGTGTTACTATATAAATAACAGAATATGTGTGTTAAAAACTTAAAACTTAAAAAATATAATTTTTCACCATTTATATAAAAACACATGGTGTACCATCCGTATTCCTGTCATAATGAAAAATTTCTCCTCTAAAACAATTGGAGAGTTGAGTAATCAAGTGTGTTGAAGTAATCAAGCATTTTAATATTAGTCCAAAACGCATAAATCCCTTTTATCCGGTTAAACATTCTAGCAAGTTGCATATTGTCATTTAGAACTTTTCCTTATTTCTAAAAGAAAGAGAAAGTAATGATGCTTAGTTTTTCCATTTTTTTATTTTTTTATTTTTTTGACAATGGGGATATTTTAGGATTAGGGTTTCAATTATGGGACACTTCTAGAAGTATCTATTCTTAATCGTATTAAATGGGCCTCGAAGGCAGCCTATTTTTTTTCTTCTAATTTTAGAATTAACTACTCAAAACATCTCTAGAGGGGCTTGAGCATTGCTCGAAGCGTGTCGAGAGTGCTCATAGGCGGGGTTTAGGCATTGCTCGAGGCATGTCGAGAGTGCTCATAAACTACTTAAGACTATGTTTCAAAATCTTGAACAGTGGCCAAAAATCTTTAATGTGTTAACAAAAATCTTAGTTTCCTATATTTTCCAAGCTTCAGCAGCAGGACCTAAGTAAGTTCCTCTCTGCTACTTAGAGAGCCCATTCACAAATTTTCACTACATGTAACTAAGAAATTGCCAAAATCTCCAGCTAGCTAGCTAGTGCCAAGAGACCATACATTGCCAAATTTATATATATGTTGAAATGCTGATACATTATACTAAGAGTTACTATACATTATATATATATATATATATATATATATATATATATTCCAAATTGGATTAAATGTCCCTAGTAGTGATGGTCCCGTACAAAAAGCTAGATTTAAATTCTCGTGGTGGAATCCATTATGTTTGAAACCCAAAATTAGTTTTCTGCTAATAATCCGTTAACCCATTCAACCTTCATAACCGAAAGAGATATGAAAATGTTAACGGAGAGTTTAAATCCTCCAACTGTAGCATCGGAACTTTCAAACTATGTTTGCTTGTTTAATGTTGAACAATTTGTTTTCTTGATGGAAATCACCTGATTTATAGAATTGGAACTTTGAATCTTTGATGCTTGCTGATCCATTTGAGTTGCGTAGTGGGTTGTGTTTGAAGAACTCTTCAATTTTTAAAAAATTTGTGCTGCAGGTACAAAGTTGTTAGATCTTCATCCGGGAGGAATCACACTGTATTCGCTACTTAGGATGGACATTCTTTCGCCTTTGGCTGGAATAAGTATGGACAGATGGGTTCAGGTTCAGTAAAAAATGGTAGGTTTACTTTGTCTAGTTAGTTTGATGAAATTTTAGGAGCTTGCTGTGAGAATCTGATAACAAGTTATTGTCTGGATTACACTAATTCAATCATGCTTAACTGTATAAACTGATCAATATTCTTAAGTTTTCGTGGCGTTCTACTATCTAGGGCCCATTTCAAATTTTTATATTTCGTAGTGGGTCATGTTACATACTGCTAACAGCTATCTGGAAAAAAAAAAAAAAAAAAAAAAAGGGGGCTGGGCTTGGGGTGGGGTGAGAATGTTAATTAACGGAGAATTGGATCGAAATGTTAATTTTGAGCTTATTATAACGGACTTGATCGCGAAGGTTTAAATCTTATTTTTGTTGTTTGATTATTCTATTATCATGAGAACTATTAATCCAATTTAGTCTTTTTTTTGTCGGATTGCTTAGTTGAGGTTGACATCATACTCACTCTAGAATTAAAATCATAATGTTGCAAAGCTCACACCTTTAATATTAAATCTGCACTCAAACCTGAAATCAACAGGTTTTTACAAAGTGTTATTAATTAACATAACGAGGAACACAAATTCACACCATACAAATGAATCATTTAAACAAAAATTACAACCACCAAAGAAATAAGCAAAATCAGATCAATTATGTTTGAGTAATGCTAGGGAAACTAAATTTGTAGACTAAGTTTTATAAACTAAATAACATGGAAGTTGATGATTGAATTATTACTTAAACGTTGATAAATATACTCATTTCTTATTGATGACACATCATTTAGTTTGCAATTTTAATCTATAAATTTAGTTTCTCTAGCATTACGTATTAAGTTTTCTAATTAAGCTTTGCAGAATACAACCATGTCCTTCATCATCCCCAGAGATCTCAACCTTCTCATGTTTGTGTTTTTTATTCAATTCCTCCTCCTTAGGCACTGTAATTACCAACACCCCGTCACGCATTGAAGCCTTAATCTCATCGACCTTGGCTTTGTCAGGCAACCTAAAATTCCTCGAGAAGCTTCCACTTGTCCTTTCCTTACAGTGCCACGTCTCATGCTTGGGGTTTTCCGTTTCAGGCTCCAGTTTTCTCTTTGCAGTAACACGAAGCGCTTTGTTTTCTTGCAGCTCAAGCTTCACGTCCTCTTTTGCAAGGCCTGGAAGATCTATTTCAAAGGTGTGAGCATCTGAAGTCTCCTTCCAGTCCATGTATGTGGTGTTGTTGGATATTTCTGAGTCGAAAACTCTGAAAGGTGCCAAAAAGTTGGGCTGATCTAAGAGAGATTGTAATAAAATGGACATTTTCAGATTTGAGTTTTTGTTGTTTTTGTGGTTTGGGTTTAGGGTTTGGGATGATAAAGCTATTAACCTGAGTTCTTGTTTTAATTACGGATGGTGTTTTTTATCAGATTTCGCAAGTGATGGTTTTGGTGCGTTGTTTGATATGAGTCTTTTCCTGGGAGGGAAGAGGAGACGGTGATTTTCTTGGAGTTTCTGGAGTTGGATAGTCTTCGGCTTCTAGGGAATTGATGTTCTTGATGTCGATGGACTTTGTTGGGCCCATTCCATTTATATTTTTTGAGATAATGGGTAGGGGATAGAAGTCAATATTACAGAACTCTCTTGGAGAACCTGGAAATTGGTTCCTAGAAGTACCGTTCAAGCTCAAAAGCGTAGTTTGAATATGCTTCTCTATAAAGCATTTATTTGTTGTTAGAAGCACATGAAATTTTTATCAAGAATTCATAAAATATCTGACAACCCCATAGACACTATTAACTTCGTATGCTAAAACATTATCCCAAGCACTTTTGATTATCTAAATCTAAAAATACTTCCAAATACAACTTGAAAATCTAAATTTGTACACTCAAGTGCATGAATAAATAATTTTAGTCACTTCAACAAATAAGCTAGTCTTTAATTACAACACCAATGAGAAATGGTCCCATATTAAATATAATTTACCATCGATATTGTCTCCAAACTCAAACATACGTCCAACATGTGGGGAGAGATAGCCGCAATGAACTCATCAACGTGTGGATTTTTTTTTCTAAAAAGGCTAGATGCTATTAGTATTTAGCCACCAACTTCAAACTCGTAGATTATTTTGGTATTTTCGGATGCATGATTATGTTCATCTACATTTATAGCTTGTATTGAGCTACACAACCTTAACACTGTTATAATCCTTCATGCTTTTACAACCAGATCGAAGATGATCATCCTCTCAAGTATTGTCAGGGCCGGTCTAGAGATTTTTGAGGCCTGGGGCGACACTAAAAAATGTACCTCACTTCATATAAAAAAATTATTTGTTTTCACACGTAAGACATCGATAAAATTATATTTAGAAAAACATTTCAAACTCAATAATTTAGAAACACGGAATAACTAATTTATTTTGTATCGAGATAAGGAAACCAAAAAACTTCGGGCTTACAAGTAGATTGATTATGAGTTTTGTTTTTCATCTGAACTTTTAAAGTGTTTTTGTGATGTATTTTTTCTTATTTACTAACCTTGTCAATATAAGAATAAAAATAATAATAATAATGTTTTCGAGTCTTTAAGGATATGTATAAGTAATGAATGAACACTAAATTAAACCTTTTGATGACACGTAATATTATTTGCAAATTTAGTCTAAAAATTTAGTCTACGCGTTACTCTTTGTTGAAGATTAGACTTGAATGAGAACGGATAATTAAAAATAGCAACCCACATAGCTACTAGCTAGTAAATAAATTAACAACCAAACAAAAATTTGTAAAAATTGAAAAAAAAAAACTTGCACATAGCATTTCGAACTTAGGACCTCTCATTAATTTTAAACAACAAAAACCATTGCTTCTAATTAAACTTCTTGATCATTTAGCCAAAATTTATAAATTTATACTATTATGAAAAGAGATTTGTAAAAAAATTGGAATGTAAATAAGCACACATGGTGTTTTGAACCTAAGACCTCCTCATTAATTTTAAACAACAAAACCACCAGTTCTAGTTAAATTTCTTTGTTACTAAACCAAATTTCATAAATTTATGTTCTTCTAAAAACATATATAAATATATCACCATAATGACGCCCCTAATTTTTTGGGGTCCCGAACGATCGCCCTATCCTGCACTGGGCTTGAACCGGGCCTGAGTATTGTGTATGTGGACGTTTCAACGTTCCTCTTATGTCCTAAGGAGTTTCTTTGAGGCCTCCACATCATACCTAATTACGATCAGCCCATGCACAGCCTTAAAATGAGGGAAAATGATCCTCGCCGGATCCTTTTTCTAAAATGAGCTCAATTTGAAACATTATTTAGGGTTTTTTAGGGGCATGTGTGGGCTTTTCCTTCAGAGTTCCCAACCTAATAATATTATTCAATGAAAATTTGAAAACGATCCAATTTATTCTATTTTGTTTTTTGGACGAACCACTTTATTCTATTTAATTCCTAAATCACGTCCAACAAAAAAAAAGTTCCTAAATCATGACTTCAGACCAAAACGAAATGGAAAATCTTAAACCCTGATTAGAAACGTGTGTGATACATGAAAAAAAAAATGGTACTTGAAAACTTCCTGATCATGCTTACATATGCAAGTTAATCCTTTTGTACTGGCCAAAGTTTGTTTATTTATGTGGCGATACACTAATTTTACTACAATTTTCAAATTGGTGTATCAGCACATGATAAAAAATAAAATAAAAAAGTTGACATTTTGAATTAGTACTTAATCATCATCATCCAATAATGCAGATGTATAATTGTAACAAAAAAAATAAAAAATGTACCAAATATAAATGTGTTTTACGTACACAGGTACATATATTGATAGAATTGTACCTCAGTTTCATATATAGTTTTTTCTTTGATCATCAAGTCCATCTTCTTGATCCAATTAATTATATCCTTTTTTGTTCCCATGGGTTCATGTCCACCGGTGCCCTTGCATGCACGCACAAGTCTTCAGTGCAAAACTAAATATTCCCCACCATTTGGCCCATACAATAATGCAAATTATATACATAAAAAATCTACTGCAGGGTTTTGGCTGTGAAATGGAATGTTTTCTTTTCCAAGAATTCAAACACAAGTCATCATCTCTGCCATGAATATGATCCTTTTCTGTGCAAGCGAATGTATCAGAAAGTGCTTCACATTCTCCCTTTTCTGCAAATGCATATATGCTTATTACGTGCTATCGTTTAAGCTTCATCGTGCTGACGGTGAATACAATAAAAAAGCAAACCCTAGCCTGTCACCCTTATCCAGAAGGAATTTTTCAGTAGGGAAATGTCAGAGAGACCACTGGATTAAATTTTATAATACATATGATGCAATTGTTGATGATTGAATTATTAATTACTTAATATTGATTAATGTGTTTTTTTTCTATTAGTGGCATATCATATAGGCTTCATAATTGCATTTTCAAAATTTTCTAAATCTCTAATTTTTTAGCTTTCAAATAATTTTGTTTTTGCTTCAAATCATTCGTGTGCTTCAATAATATGCTTAAGTTAAATAAAACCCACAAGGCAAATGGCTTTTGTTTCAAAGTTGACTGGAGCACTGTGTTTTCTCACCTACCTAACGAAATGATTAATTTAATTAAATGAAACCATATTTGGGAAGTTGACATAACGAAATGATTTTGTAATTCCGTAGACTGGAGCACCATATTTCAAAGTAATTCCGTAGCCAAGTTTGACATAACGAAATGATTAATTTAATTAAATGAAACCCATATATAAAGCATATAGTCGAAGAGCAAGAGTGTAGAGAAGCATTATTTGAGAATACAAACTAAAATGGAGGTAGATCAGCAAGTTCTTCACATGAATGGAGGAGTTGGGAAAACAAGCTATGCAACCAACTCTCTACTTCAAAGAGCTGCGATTTCAATGGTGAAGCCCACAGTTAAGGCAAGCATAGAGCAGCTTTCTAGGAAACTCTTCTCTGACCGTTTGAAAATAGCAGACTTGGGATGCTCTTCCGGACCCAACACCCTTCTGGTGGTATCAGATATCATACACAACATCCATGCCACTTTCCGAAAACTGAACCGTCCATCTCCTTCACTCCAAGCCTTCTTGAATGATCTTCCCGGAAACGATTTCAACACTCTGTGCAGGTCATTGCCAGGGTTCTATAAGAAACTTGAGGAAGAACAGTTAGGGCCATGTTTCATTACTGCAATGCCTGGTTCTTTCTATGGCAGGCTCTTTCCAAAAAATTCTCTCCACTTTATTCACTCTAGTTATGCCCTTCTGTGGATCTCTGAGGCTCCAAAAGGTTTGATAACCAGGAAGGAGAGGGACTAAACAAGAAGAACATATACATAGCGAAAACAAGCCCACCTGCTGTGTATAAGCAGTACTTGGAGCAATTCAAAAAGGACTTCAGAGTGTTTTTGAGATCACGAGCAGAAGAGCTGGTTCCCGGAGGAAGTATGGTCCTCACAACATTGGGGAGCACAAAGAGCCATGATCCACTTAGCATTTGGGAAGTTGTCGGACTCAAACTCAATGATATGGTTTTAGAGGGTTTGATTGAGGAGGAAAAATTGGACACATTCAATATGCCATTGTATTTTCCTACAACAAAGGAGGTTGAAGATGTCATCGAGGCGGAAGGATTTTTTACTTTGCAAAGCCTTGAAGTTTTCAAAAATGATTGGGACTCCTATATAAAGCACGCTGACAGTGGCCTCGATAAAAAGGCAAGGGCTGCCGTACTTGCCACTGAGATAAGGGCTGTGGGAGAGCCTATTCTGGCAACCCAATTCGGAGAAGTGGCTATGGACGATTTGTTTCGCAGGTTTGAAGAAGATGTCCTTGATCACATGGAAATGGAGAATTGCCAGTTCATTGACCTGGTTATCTCGTTGACAAAGAAGCGTTGAATAAGATGAATATGCAAGAAACGAGAACAAGATTTAGGTTACATTGTTCTTTTTATTTTGTACTTCATTATAAGAAATAAATTTGCTTACTGTTAACTATTGCAGAAGATCAGCAGCCTTTCAGTAAAACGAAGAAGATGAACTAAAGAAAAAGAGACATATAGAAGAAGATTAACATTTCATCCGTGAGGTGGTTATTGCTTCTCTTATTCTAGTTTGGTTTGTTGGCTCAACGTTTCAAATTGCAGATGCATTTACAAACAAAATACTAAAAATAAAAATAAATAAATATAAAGCATATAGTCTTTTACGTCAAAATAATGTGGCTACCAAATTAAATCCGGTCCTTATCATCTCAACAAAATGTGGTTACCATATGCTCGTGGGGAAAG